TTTCAATTAGCCCCACATGTGATTATCGGCCAGGCTGGCACAATTAACTAACTCAGGCCCCAAGCAATTTCTTCAGGGATTCTACCCATGAATATATATAGATATAACAGGGGAGATTCGTATGTGTATATTTACTTTTAGTGAAAATATAACTATGAATATGATGGAGCATACAGGGGAAAAAGTTATGAAAACTTCTTAGACATAACCAAACCCTTTGAGGGAATAAGGGTCACTAAGCTAGAGCTCTCAGGGCACACCAAGGTCACTTGTATCCTCAGGGGATACAAAGATCAATTGGCATAACATAAGCCATAAAGTCAGTATTCTATATCCTACTTTGGTGAAGAGTAATTGGGGTCTTAAAAGTTAGTGAATGGCCATCTAGATGTAACTATTTGTCTCTTCCTGTCTATAAAAAACATGTAGATGTAGGTGTAGAGCACTGTCTTTGTGGAGTATGTTATAAAACTTTACCTTGGTGTCCCCTGAAACTATGATCCTGAGCCCTCAGGCACAGCAACTAAATTCTTAAAGTGCTCGGTTCTGTCTAAATGTTCCTTACTTAGACATGTACACTCCACCATATTTATGGATATATTTGCAGCCAAGAGTTAAGAGAATCAAAGATGCATGAAAATAATTAGACTAATGACTAATAGACTGTTTATGTCTCCATTAGATAGTGCTCAGCTATCACCCTCAAATGCTCTAAAATGTTCTACAAGACCCTGTATAGAATAGGGGAAAATGTTTAATGATTATTAAATGAATTTGGTTTTTCTCTTTATTTTAATGATATTTATTCATTTTCTTTCAGGATTTCCTGCAATTCATTAGTTTCTTCCCAAGTTTAAAGCCATCTGTTCTATCTTGAAATCTACTTGAGTTCCTTTCTATTTAAAAGTTCCATAGTTACATTATTCCTTCTATTTACTTTGTAATTGTCATTGATACAAATTGATATATCCAGTTTCTTATGTTCAATCTTGGAGAGTTATTTTATTTTGGACCTATTTATATCTAAGTTGACATCTAGGTGGTATTATATGGCATGCTAATCTTAGGATTTTGTTTATTGTTGGTTCTCTGCCCAAAGAACTCCCTTTAGTTTTTCTTTGAAGGGTAGTCTGTTTTTAGCACATTTGAAGGCAGTTCTGGCTGGTAGCTCTCTATCAATGGCCAAGTGGTACAGGAATGGGTAGTGGCCACTGCCCAGATGAGTATGAGACTCCAAAGGAGTAATCTTGATAGATTTTCTTGAAGAACACTGTAGGGTCATAGGTGCTTATTATGAAGAAGTTTTAAGAAAATGGAAAACAGTATTGGTAAAAAAAAATAGGACAGGAAAATTTCACTAAGGAACTTTTTTCCATCACATGAATGTACCTGCTTAATTTTTTAAAGTAGCAAAGGTGATCCTAGGAGATTTTTATTGGGAAGTCTTACACCATAAACCATACCATCCTGACCTCGTTCCTCCTTCTTGTTCTTTTTGTTCCCATACATCAAAAGGGATACGATTTTAGTTCTTTGAAGATGGTAAAAGTGGCATTTTGACATGGTGAAAATTAAAGAGTTCAGAATTTCTTCATGAAAATCGCAGAAAAATGGAAACACTGCCTTCAGACAATAATGTCACATTTTGATAATTTTGTTTAGGAAACATTTGACTTATCCTTATTTAATTTATAGCAATTAAAAAGAAAAGCAAAACATTTATGTTATTTGAAGAGAAACCAAAGTATACAACATTTTTTAAAGATTAAAAAATCGGTACATAATTGTTTATAGCAGCTCTTGATATAATAGGTTAAAAAAATCTAGAAATAATTGCAGTGTCTTTTTACTGTTAAATAGTTAAATAAACTTTTGTACATCACAAATCATAGTACTTCTTAATGATGAAACACAAAAACTATTTCAATACAAAAGAACATGGGTGAATCTCAACAAAATTATGCTGTATGGTCCCATTTTATGACATTTTAAAAATAATAATGCTATGGAAAGGGAAAAAGATGAATGGTGCCCAGGAGTCAGGCAAAGTGAAAATGGGAGGAAGAATTATATGATAATAGGACTTTAGAAATAAATATGGTTTAATATAAATTTCCTACTTTTTATATAGGACTCTAATTTTATAAAATGTGAATTGTGTAAAACTGAGTTAAGGATACATGGAACCTCTGTGCTTCCGTTGCAAATTCCTGTGACCTTAAAGCTATTTTTAATATCAATTTATTTTAAAATGGCTGTAAATGTAATACAATGACATTTCTGTCTTCTTGGAATATGAAGGCAACTAATATAGAATCAAACAAAGGTAAAAAAAAGTTATGTTTTTATATGCAATGGAAAAATAGGAAATGGAACGTGAACTATAATTGTAACTGTATAGATGTTTCCTCTGGGGAAATAAACAATTTCTTTTTGTTTTGAAAGGTTTGTTGAATTATTTTCTCCAGATAAGAAAAGGGGAAAAAGAAAACAAAATTGAACTGCTAGTGGACTTCATGTGTCTTGAAAATTTAAATACTTAGATATTTCTTCTAATAAAGCATTTGAAAAGAAAACCATTATGTGTTGTAACTTATTAAATTGTAAGAAAACTTACTATTCTATTGCCATTTATAAATCAGTTTGATGAGTCTTTCTATGATTTCATAATTTTATCTTACATTTCTTTTGTAAAGACTTGGATTGGGAATCGAAGAAGAAAATATCGTTTAATGGGGATTGAAGTTCCACCTCCAAGAGGAGGCCCTGCTGATTTCTCTGAGCAGCCTGAGTCTGGCTCTTTGTCTGCCTTCCCACCAGGAGAGGAAGCTGGGCCTGATGTTGGAGAGGATAATGACCGAAATGACGAAGTATCCATCTGTTTGTCTGATGGAAGCTCTCAAGGTACTTACATGCTGCACTTCTTAATAATAGCCTTTATAGATCAAATGCATTTTTACTGTTTTTAAGCTTACAGTGGATAAAATCTAATGTCCTCAAAGCATTTAGTCAAACACGTGAAAATAAAGAAATTTATTTTCAATATCTCCCCCTCAGTCAACCACATCAAGACATCACAAAAAAGGGTATTCATCCACCAAAATAGTGATTCCCCACATTTACAAATTATGTATATTGCAACAATCCATAAATTATACTTAAGTATATGCTTGTGTTTTTATTTCTTTGAAATTCTAGTCAAGTTATGTAGAGCGCATAATATGTGCAGTGTCATGAAAGAGTATGATAAAGTTTGCCAAACCCCAGGCTACTACAAGTCAGGCAAACTAATTGTAAATCCTAGCTCTTTTATTAGCAGAGGGGAAACATTTAACTCTTTGGGTTTTAGTTTTTCTGTGTGAAAAATAAGAAAATTAGACTGCATCATCTTTTTAAGACCTCACAATGTCCTTATATGGTAATTCAAACAATAACACATAATTATACCACTTACCTATGAAATGTATATTTAATTTGACTTCAAGTACAAGTAATTTTCTTCTGATGCCTTTCAGATGTTTTAACAGCTTTAGTATGATCAATGTACATGTCATAAAATGTATCTATTGTAAGTTTCTGATTCAATCATTTTCATAAATTTTGCATTTGTACAACCATCACCATCACCAAAACCCAGTTTTAAAATATTTTCATACAAAATTTTCTCTTGAACCTGTTTGCAGTCAGACTTACCTCCCACCCTCAGCCCCAGGCAACCGTTGATCTGCTTTCTGTCTCTATATGTTTGTCTTTTATGGACTTTTATATAAATGGAATCATGCAATATGTATTTATTTATATCGTTGCATGTGTGCATATTAGAGAAAGAATATGATTTTTCCTTTATCCGTTTTGTTTGTTATTCTTTTCTTTTTCCCCCAACACTTTCATTGACACATCGTTTACATATCATACAATTCAATAGTTCAATCATTCAATCATATCAAGAATTGTAAAATCATTACCACATCAATTTTAGAGCACCCCTGAGTTAGTTAATTGTGCCAGCCTGGCCGATAATCACATGTGGGGCTGGTTGAAAGGCAGAGGGATAAATGGGTGGTGAGCCTCGCCTTTTGAGTTCTCGGGTCTCTTGTTTTGTGATGGTTGGACCGGGTGTAAGCTGCCTTAGCAGTTCCCTGCTTCAGCTTGCAAGATTGACTTCCTACAAGACACCCCCAAGGAGAAGCCACATGGACCTATCCCGATGCAGCCCTGGGTGCTGGAGCAGCCGTGTGGAGACCCCTGCCAGTGCTGAGATGCTTATTCATTCACTGACTCAGCTTTCCTCCTGCAGTTGGCATCATTGCCTCTGTTTTGTGAGGTGGAGGACTTTGTGGACTGGTGTTGGGTTAATGGGTTAATGTTGGACTTGTGGGCTTGGGCAGCATTGGGTTGGGATGTTTTCGTGATGCACATTTTCTTTGCATAAAACTCTCTTATACATGAGTTGCTGTGGATTTGTTTCTCCAAAGTACCTAGACTAATACAACCCCCATCCATTGTCAAATCGCCTTTAAAATGAGTTGTGCAATCACAATCCATTGTAGGGCTCCCTCCCCCTCCCACCTTCATTATTTACTCCCGAAATCCCCTTTCACTTCCTGTCACCCACCACAACCCTTGTATCCCCTATATCCCTTTGTGTCAGTTATTATCATTATGCATCCACTCCTCTTGTGCTTCACAGCTGGGAAACCCAACAGAAAACAATAGAAAACAAAATTGTACCAAGGTTGTAAGGATAAAATCATAACAGTATAAAGACAAAATTACAAATAATGAGTAAGAAGGAAAGTACCCCCATATCAGGATTCTAATACTATATTTCCAGTTCGTTGATTATTTTTAATTTGGATCAAAAGTTCATATGAGGCTAGATTTTTGTTTGGAATTTTTATACAAAATCTATAAATGTTTTCCTTTATGATTTCTGCCTTCAATATCATGATTTAAAAGCCTTTCCTTGTACTACATTTATTTTACTATGCCATTCTGGTATCCTTATGACGTCATTTAACAGATTGCCCCTCCACTATTTATTGAATAAGCTATCTTTTCTCCAGTGACTTTTAGTGTCTATATATACATATATATATATACACACACACATATATATTGTTTCATGCATACTTAAATGCATACACACACACCATGGATTCCTATTGTCTTACAATTTCGTGGTTACAAATGCTGTTTTATAATATATCTTAATATTGGGTAGAGCTCTTACTATTATTGTTAGCTCTTATAGTACATTGATTCCTCCATATAAACTTTGGAATTGTTAAGTCATACTGATCCTCTTCCTTCCTCTCAAAGCACACTTTGGGTTTTCAGTGGCACTATATTAAGTGGATCATTTAACGCACTGAAATTAATCCAGTTTTGTATATGTTGAGCTTTAGGTGATGGCAGGACTTCCATTTAGAACAGTTTAGAAGGCCCTTGGATAATATGACTCTGAAATGATAATATGAAATCAGAAGGAAGATTAAGATGTAAGTAAAAACATGAGAGCCACATTAAGACTAAAATCTATCTATTCATAAAATTAAAATATTTACTTAACTAACAATTTAAAATTAAAAAATAAGAGAGACAGACTTACAAGGATTAGGTGTTGTGAAATATCTAAATGTGGGGGCTGGAGGAAAGAATAGAACCATTTAAAGAATATTCAGAAATAGAATAAAGTTGGTATTAAAGAAAGGGAGATTTTAAAAGAAAGAAGAATTATAGGAATCATCTCATAGAGACTGACTTAAAACCTTATGAATAGTGGTAGATCATTGTCTGAAAAGCCCCTGGGGTTGGAAGGAACTACACAACAATTATGAGAATAGTGCGGGACAAGGTAGTGTGTTGTTGTTATGCACTGTGTCTCTATGAGTCTGAGTTCACTTAAGGATGACTAACACAACACACACAAATACATGACGATCAAGAAACCATTGAATTGAGTGTTTATAGGTCTGCTGTGACTCATAATCCACTCAGTGGCAGTGGGTTTTGTTTTGAACAATCTGTTGTGCGGTGGCGCTGCCAGATGGACTGCTAATTTAGCAGTTCAAACACACCAGTAATTCTGCAGAAGAAAGAAGGCGATGTCTTCTCCCTAGAGATCTACAGCCTAGGGAACCTTACATAGAATCACTGTGAGTTGGGATCGACTTAATGGCAGTGGGTTTGGGTGTCTTGTATTGGTGAGAAAAGGTGGCAAGATGCTGAGTAATTAAAGAGATATAACTGCTGTTTATATTAACATGGTCCTGTATTATAAGTCCAAATGTTTAAAAGTTTATCAATATGAATATTCAAGTATTCTCTATTTTTTTTCACCAATATTTTCTGTTGATGCTGCTGAAGATGACGAAAGTGAATTTGATGTAAAGGGAAAGTATGAGGCATAACGAAAACTGCAGAAGCTATTGCATCATTTTCAATCATGTTAATTTCTAATATAATAACTCAGAAAAACCATATTTTGCTTCCTCTTAGTCTTTATTAGGTTGTATGAGGTACAATTCCATTGATTGATGACTGAGTCTTCAGAGCCTTGTGACTGGCAACTATTTATGGAAGAGCAGTGGAGTGTAGGGGTTTGTATGATTCTCTGTGTGGATAGATGGGGGTCTGTGAGGAAACATTCAGAGAAAAGGAAAGCAAGTTTGAGTGCCAACTCATACTTTCCCTGCTAAAGGAGAATTTTAAAAAATAGTTAATGGAAAAAGTGAAAATTGATTTTAAAGCTGTTAATGGACCACTGCTCTATACTGTCATCCTTTGTTATTTAATAGAGTATTCTCTAGACAGCTGGCACAGTAATCAAGATTTACTGAGAAAAAGAGAGCTAATGTAATTCATAGACCCCCAAAGGATTTCATTGGAAGAAAGATTGCCTTGAATTCTTCTTAATGACTTATTTTTTACAGATACATATTAACCTTTTCATTCTCATCAAAAACTGCAACAAAAATATTTTTTAAATATTCAGAGCCTGAAAGAGGCTTTCTGCACAATTTCCAAAAAATTCTGTCCTATTCGCTTTTTCATTTTGCTGTTAGAGAATACTAATCTGAATGGTTTGTTTGTGTTATCCCTATGTGATGATAAATTGTGTCGGTTAGCCACGATTAATATCATACATTTAGAACATGCTAACCATTTTCACTTCCAGTTTATGAAAATGTATAGTCATTGTGAGATATCCATTAATTAAATCTCAGCAATATAGAGAAAATAGAATAGTTTCCGTTAATATTTAAAAAGCCTGACAACTTGAAATTAGGGGTCCTTATAATGTGACTGTTGATTCAATAGGGTTAAAGTTTTCTAAACACCTAAGAGGGGCTGGCTTTCATGGGCAGTAGTGGCGGGGTTTACACCCTGAGGTTGGAGTGCATTTGTACTGGGTGGCAGTAACTGATAACTATCTGAGAAAGGCCCTGGCTGGGCAGATGCCTCCAAGTCATGTGCCAGGTACCCCATCTGGCCCCCATACACACTGTCCCCTAACCGGTACACATGCCACCCTGCCAGGCCCTGGCCCAATGCACATCTCTGCCTGGCCCCTCCCCCATGACCACACTGACCAGCCCCACCCCCACAACACACACCTAACCCATGTACCACCAATCCATGTTATAATGGCCCGTGAAGCACCTAACCCATCAATATGGCAACTGCCCTGCCTACACAATACAAGCCAGTGGCAGCACCCACCCCACAACAGTGGCACCCGCATGATTGTAAGTTTATTCTACTCATTTTCCTCATCATCTATTTCTTTTCTCTCTCCTATTTTCTTCTTCTTCTTTTAATTATCGTCAACAAAATTTTATTGCGTAGAATATTAAAAACAACGTTCTACAACTTTGGAATATATGGATCTCTTTCGGATT